TTCAGCGAGTAGTGGTTAATGATTCATACTCTGAATGGTCTAGGGTTGTCAGTGGTGTACCCCAAGATTCAGTGTTGGGACCCTTACTTTTTAATATATTTATAAACGATATAGGGTCTGAGATTAAAAATCCCATTTCAGTCTTTGCAGATGACACCAAGATGTGCGGTGGAATAACGTCCTTACAGGATGTCTTCAACTTACAAGCTGACCTCAATGCACTGTTTAATTGGGCAACTATGTGGCAAATGAGGTTTAATGTTGATAAATGTAAGGTTATGCACTTGGGGGCTAAGAATATGCATGCATCATACATACTAGGGGGGTACAACTGGGGGAATCAATGGTGGAGAAGGATCTAGGAGTTCTGGTAGATCACAAGCTTTCTAAAGCGAGCAAAATCCTCTCTTTTATTAAAAGAGTTATAGACTCCAGAGAGAGAGATATCATTTTACCCCCTGTACAAATCATTAGTAATACCTCATCTGGAATATGCAATTCAATTTTGAGCATCAATTCACAAAAAAGAACATTGGGGAACTGGAGAAAATACAGAGAACGGCAACCAAACTGATAAGAGGCATGGAAGAGGAGCTCAGCTATGAGGAAAGATTAGAGGAACTGAATTTATTAAGGGGGGATATGATCAACATATATAAATACATCAGTGGTTCATATAGTGAAATCGGTGTACAGTTATTTGCCTTGAGGTCATCACAGAGGACTAGGGGGCACTCCTTACGCCTGGAGGAAAAGAAATTTAATCTCTAAACACAGAAAGGTTTCTTCACAGTAAGTGCTGTGAAAATAGGCAATAGACTTCCTTAAAGAGTTGGTTCTGGCCAGCTCAGTGCATTGCTTTAAAAAAGGCCTGGATTCTTTCTTGGATACACAGAATATAACTGGATACTAACATTTTCAGGTATAGGTGATCCAGGGAATATCCAATTGCTTCTTGGGGGATCAGGAAGATTTTTTCCCCTGCAGGTGCAAATTGGATCGTGCTCTGCTAGATTTTTTGCCTTCCTCTGGATTAACTTTGGGTGTAGGATTATAACTTTTTTTTTTGTTATGGTTGAACTGAATAGACTTTTGTCTTTTTTCAGCCAGACTAACTAGGTATCTATGTAAGCTGAAAAACACACCCCCTAGCATTTCTAGCTGTGGCCATATTGAGCAAGGGCAGATGATTCATGTAGAATTTGCTTCCTGGAATTCATCTGCCCTTAGCTAAGGCATGCAGGCAGGAGGGTGTGCTGAGCTAAGAAAACCCCTCCTCCCCTCCTGAAGACTCCTCGGATGTATTACATTATTTGCCTAGGCATTGAAACCAGGTAACTGAAGAAATTTTAAAAAAGTTTAAAACAAGTAAATATGATATAATTTGTAATCTATTTACTAATTCTAGAAGTATAAGGATTAAAAATAGTCAATGTTGACTGAGAGAGTGAAGTTCCGCTTTAATATTGGAAAGCCTGGAGCCATCAGCCCGCCACATTGGTAAAAGCAAAGCAATCTTTCACTCAAAAGAAAGTAAAACCGTTGGTTGCAGCATAAAACAGAACAGTCAACACTCCTTGTACAAAAATCAAATGTTTAGGCTCATGGCAAGCAAAATTTTCCCTCTTAACAGGGTTACGTCCTTGCCTGCCTTAGGGGTCCTAAAGAGAAGGTCTCCAGTTGCTAAGAGAGTCTCGGTCAGGGGTGGACTGACAACTCATGGGGCCCCTGGGCAATAGGGGATCATGGGGCCCCTGTGTCCTTGCCCAAACTCAAAAAAGTGTATGAAAAAGGTACCAGGGGCATCTCATGGGGGCCCCCTACTGACTCCGGGCCCTCAGGCAGTGCCCGAGTTTCCAAATGGTCAGACCGCCCCTGGTCTCAGTCATAGGTAGTCCACCTTTTTGACTCCTCAGTGGGGGAGATTTACTAAAACTGAAGCGTGCTAAATCTGTTGCAGCTCTGCATAAAAACCAATCAGCTTCCAGGTTGTATTGTCAAAGCTTAATTAAACAAGGTGAAGTTATAAGCTGATTGGCTACCATGCACAGCTGCACCAGATTCTAAGTGCTCCAGTTTTTAGTAAATCTCCCCAGTGTGTCTTGCTACACATTCCACTTCAAAGACACCTACTAATAGTTTCCTGTTCCACTTTAGACCTCTGCTACAGATGGGTTAATCCCTTCAGGACCAAAGTCCCTGTAATCAGGGTTTAGATGTTCTTTGTCACCCAAAATCTCTCCAAGCCTCTGAATTCTGGGTCAGTCCTCTTTTCTCCAAGTGAACTACCCCGAAACCCCCACCGTGAGAACCCTTAAGTATACAAAATGTCTCTTAGTGTTCTCCTTAAAGAGACCACAACACAAATATATCTGCCTTCCAGGACCCATCCCTGACATCCTGTATATGTCAGCACACATTCTGACATTTACCCAATCACATTTAGGTCTAACCAATTACTCACATACATATTTAACAGAATTTTAGTAAGCTGTAAGACACTGTATATAACGAATGTACCATGGACAGACACAGAATTAATTAAATTAAAATAGATGGGAATTAGGTTTGAAAATAATTAGGCTTTAAAATATAATTATGACATTTATACTATAGATAAAAGGGGATAAAGATGTGACATCAGAAAAAAAAATCTGCTTTATGTGCCCAATCCACAACTGCAATTAGATCTATGAAATTCTAATCTGTGGATCTGTCAGTAATTTTAACAGCTGTGGTTTTCTTAAAAAAAAACATGTTGCCTGGCATACTACTGACCCAGGCCCCCTATCATGTTGATACCACTTCATAAGTAGGGAAGGCCTTTTAAAAGCTGTGTCCTTGAAAACTGAGCCCCTCCCATAGACACTGGGTCCTTGAATGAGACTACTCATAATCAATGAATATTCCTTTACTTTTTCCTTGGAATTGAAGGTGCAGAGGAGCCTGGTGCCCATCAGATTCAGGCAACAGTGTTTTGATTGGGGTGGTCCTTTTTTTGAAACCCCTCAGGTTAAGAAAAAAAGAGTAACCATCCCATTCAGTGTAAAACCAAAAACTGAACATAACTAAAAAGGTATGACCTTCTTGCTCTTGCAGTACAATTGCAAGGAAATTGTCTTTCAGCTAACACCTTGACATTCTAGTTAGTCACTCCCTTATGTCTGAAAATAATTCTTCTGGGAACTCCTTGGCGTAGTGCAGTGTCAGGACAGTTAGATGTAAGATCTAAAATGACTGTCCTGCAGTTAATAACTGAGCACTACAAGCTCTGCTAACTTTTCCACATTGCTTTTTGGAAAAAAAAAAAGTACACGTTTAATATGTAGTGCAAGTAAATAAAGAATTGGTAAAAAAAAAAAAATAGAAATAAAATTGCTTCATTCTTTCTTACTTATTTATAGTTCAGGTCACCTGGCATCCAAGAAATCCAATTTGCTCACCTACATGCTGAATGATTTTTTGTGCAAATTCAATTTGAAGCTGAACTGCATGAATACAGTATATAAACCACCATTTAATCTATTTATTATTTCAAATCTTCAAATGTATGTTGACATAAAACTAGAATAAGTGCCTGGACATGTCTTTTATCAGCTTCTGTTATCCCATGCACTGCAGGACTCAAAATGGGAGAGAAAAAAAAGCAGTATTTTCAGCCAAAAGAGCTTTATTACATTGCACAGTTCTGTTAGTCCCCCTTCCTTAATATGCTTACAGCAGTGCAGAGCAAAGAACTAATCAGTGTGTTGCTGCTTTTTCTAAGGCTGGCCGTACACAAGTCATTTTTTCCCCTCAACCAACATTTTCCATAAAAGAAAAAGACTCAATTTCCCCATATACATACTCGAAATGGATGGGGGAATCCTTCCCACAGTGCTATTATATTCTGACAGATGGGAGATTTTCAGTAGGCTGGTTGTACACAAATCGATCAATAAATCGACCCTATGTTTAACCAACCTGCCCATACATGGATGAAAATTCCCTGCTGAACCAGACAAATATCTATCCATGTATGGCAGGCTTAAGCCTTGTTGCTTAAAGTGGTATTAACCCCAAAACCAAAAATGTATTTTATTGCAGCTTACCAATCATTAGATGAGGTGGCTACATCAGTTTTCTTTTCTTAGACTTTTTTTCCCTCTGTTTTTACCTGGTGATCTGGTCAACAGGACACCCCCGGTATTAGTGAGACACCACTTTGGAGTAATGAGCACAGGACACAGCAGACAGCAGCATTTTCAGTCTGGGGGGGTTTGCCGTTTTAAATGTATAAGCAGATTTTATTACAAATTGAAGCCAAACTTAAGTTCACATTTTATAATCAGTTACAGCAAACATTTTTTTTTCCTTTTGGCATAAAGGTTTTACATGAATAATTAAAAGCAGATCATTTTAATCATCCCTGCCAGTGTTAAATGGATAGGCTCTTCCATGTTAGCTGATACATTCTGCTGGAGAACTTGATCTAAAGAAAAAAGGAGCGATGTTGGCTGAATCACCAGATGAAAACAGAAGAAAGGAAGCCAAAAATAAAAAACTAATGCAGTCATCATATCTAAGAACTGCTTTAATACTGCTACAGGGCAGCACGCGTGTGTAAAATCATGTATATATAAACAAAACAGTTCTCCTCCCTGTCAGCTCATGCACACTGCTTTACATAGATGTGCACAGCACAGCCATACAAGCAGTGTGCTTACAGTGAAGCACAAACACATGGCCCCATAGTAAAACACACCCAGCACACAGTTAACTCCTTGATCGCCCCTATATTAACCCCTTCCTGCCCAGTGCCATTAGTACAGTGTCAGTGTTTTTTTTTAGCACTGATCACTGTACTGGTGTCACTGGGGATGTCAGTGACACCAAGTCAGTCCCCCCCCCAGTGTCAGAATGCCCGCCAGAGTCCCACTAAAAGTTGCTGATTGCTACCATAACTAGTAAAAATTAAAAAAAAAATCCAGTATATATACCGCCATTTGTAAATGATATAACTTTCATGTAAACCAATTAATTTACACGTATTGGGATTTTTTTTAGCAAAGACATGTAGCAGAATATATTTTGGCATAAATGTATGATGAAATTTGATGTTTTTAATTTTTTACTGGACATGTTTAATAGCAAAATGTAAAAACTATTATTTTTTTCTCAAAATTGTCAGTCTTTTTTTATGTATCAAAAAAAATAAAAAACGCACAGGCAATCAAATACCACTGAAAGAAAACTAAATTTGTAAAAAAAAAGGACGTAAATTTCATTTGGGTGCAGTGTTGCATGACCGTGTAATTGTCAGCTAATGCAGCTCCGTAACACAAAACATAGCCTGGTCAGGAAGGGGGGTAAATCCTCAGGAGGGCAAGTGGTTAAAGCAAAACTTCATGCATAAAGAAAATAAAAAACAATGGGGCACTCAGAATTCGGTGATGGCATGGTAACCAATCAGCTTGTAACATGAGTTTGTTAAATTATTCTTTTACAACAAAACCTGGAAGCTGATTTGTTTCGATGCACAGATGTACCAGATTTTGCACCATCAGTTTTAGTAAATAACCCCCAATGTCTCCCTCCCCACTCGAGCTGATACAGAATACAATAAATATAATGTTGGTTTACTAGGGGATTATCCAGTGCAGAGGAATCTTACCTTAAAGTAGAACTACAGGCAAAACCTTTTTTTTCCAGCGAGGGATATAACCCCTGTATAGCTTAGTTTTGCCATATTTGTTCAATTGGGGAGATTTATCTTCACTTCCTGTCCCATAGCCAACAGGATGTGAGAGGAAAGCCCTAAAAATTTGCGGACTTTAATGTGGACCCCCGAGTCACCAGAAATAGTGTCCCCGTTGGAAGATTTTCCCTCTACTACTTTTCTGGGGACAACCCAAAATTTGGGATTTTCTTTTACTTTCATTTCAATGATAACGGTAAACAGGACAAATGAAGTGGGAACCTAGCAACTGGCAGTGACGCAAGAACGCTCCTTCGTGATTTACAGATATGTGCATTTGTTTTTAACTGTTTGTATTTTAACTGCTTGTACATGCATTATTTATTTATTAAATGTGAATTCTTTATATACCACACTATGGGGATCCCCTCTCTTGTGTGAGTTTTCACAGCAGACCAGAAACCGCTATTTTAAAGGGCCAGTCACACACAAGTAGAAGGATCCATTTGAATCAATGAAAGTGAGATTATCGGATGGGAGAGAGTCCACATATGAGAGAGATAATACATTCAGGAATCCAAATGTGAGGAAAGAAGCACTTTGACCTGTAAGAGGGTAAGTTTCATAGTGGAGGTGAACGTGGATTTTGAATGGTGGAGGATTATGCACCTATGCATGAGTTTGGAAAAGCACATGGACTTTAATTTATAATATTGCATGCATCTATGGATGTTTTTTTTTATCAATTATATGCACTTTAGGAACAGCATTTATTTCAACATTTGTTTGATTTAAGAGATTTATATTTTTTGACACAAGGGGGATGATTCTATATGCACTCACACTGGTTATTCCTTTTTATGACAAGTACAGTTTATCTAGCTTTCTCCAACTGAAATTGTAATGTTGCATCAATTTTACTAATGTTTTATTCACATTTGTTTGTGACCAAATACTGACTTCTATGTTAAAATCGAGAAATGATCTCACAGTCCTACTTTAGATTTACCAAATTTGTGAAATATAGATGCCTCCCTATACATGGGACCGCAGGTGGAAAGCCAAAACCAGCAAACATGCAATAAGCAAAGAACACAACACACACCAAGTTGGTTTAAATACAGCTACGGCCAGGTTTATTGGTTTAATACTCATTCTATAATTGTTTTATTACAAACTATAACTTTATTTATTAAATAATCAAATATATATGAAACAACTCAGCCCAGCCACTAAGACCTGAGCTGACCAAGCATTAAGCATTACACAAGTCCTCTATGTGATAGATTCCAAAGTGACCCACCACATATCCTAGCTGCAAGGAGGGGGGGGGGATTTGGGAAGGAAGCTCCTCATGCTGGTCCCTCTCTGGCAAAAAAAAACCTGTTAGTAAGCTCCTTTATATAGGGATCCCAAGGGGTTCTGGAAAATTGTAGGGGGTCATGTGAGCTTGATTGACCTATCACTGATGGCCCCCAAAATCTTCCAAAATCTTCTTCCCCATGTGACCCCATCTAACCAATCATATTTACCCTATATAAATCAATGACCCGAAGGGGTACATTGGTCCCATAAGGTAAAGGGGGGTCTAATTAAGGGGTCCCCCTTTTACCTGTACATTCCTTTCAATATCTTTACAAATAGGCAGTGCCTTGTACTACATAGTTGTTGGTAGAGGATTGTAAAGTCAGATTGTAACATGCATGGCCAGTAGACATGTGCGTTTCATTGTGATTAATTTTTGGGACAAAAATTTAATTTTCAAAGATTCAGATGTGTATGAATCTCTGAATAGACATAGTAACGAATGTCAATAATTTGTTTCATTCGGATGATGTCACATGATGTAATAGTAGTTCAGGCCCATGGTGAAATAAATGAAATTTTTCAGTTTGATAATTCGGATTTGGATAAGAAATGGATACAAATTTTGCTGTATACGTTAATTTGGATGCAATGCAACCAGTCAATATTGTCCAATCAGCTCATACCATTTCTCTTGGTAGGTTAGACTAGCATCCAAAAATATTGAATCCTTCCAATTCAAATCCATCAGATTTTATAATATATCGAATATAGAGCAATCTTTCAGAAAAAAATGGCATCATTTTTGGATCCACCCAGACCAACGAATATACGAATTGAATACCAAAGATATGAAACTAATTCCAAAAATAAATCAGGTCAACATAACGAATACGATGAAACAAAATTCTTCAATGAATGAATGCATCGAAAACTAAACCAAAATCTATGGCATGCACATGTCTAATGGCCAGCTTTTTAACCATTAGCCGACCGGCCTATAGCTGTTTGGTGGCAGCAAAAATGCTCCCGCACATGAGCAGTTCGCGCGGTTGCAGAGCCGTGCGATTTTGTCACCGGCCGTGTACCTCGGACACGGCCGATGACAGATCTGAGTACCGGCCCCCGTTGCCGGTACCATGTGACCTGCTGTGACCAATCACAGCAGGTCACATGACAGTTGTATACAATGTATGGCTTCATTCATGCCATCCATTGTATACTAGTGCCTAGCTGTGAATGGTCACAGCAGGTCACATGCACATGTCATGTGATTAGCTGTGGCCAAATCACAGCTAAGCACAAAAAAAAAAAAAAAAAACCTGAATCGATTTCATTCTGGTAAAATGCTTGCTTATAGCAAAGTAATTCTTTGCTATAAGCAAATTGTGTAAAAAAAAAAAAAAAAATACTGATCACTTCCCCAAAGTAGTACAATGTTACTATGGTAACATTGTACTACTTTTGGTCATAGTAAAATATGAAAAACAAATCTTAAAAAAAATTAAAAAAAAAAATGTAATAAAAAATTTTAAATAATAAAAAAATAAAAAATAAAAATATATATATATTTTTTTTCATATTGTCACCAGTCAGTGTCCCTGTTCACCGCCATGCCAGTTATATTATGACGTTGTACTGCACTGGTGACAGTATGTAAAAAAAAATTGTGAAAATAATTTTTTAAATGTTTTAATTTTCCGAAAAATTATGACAAAAAAAATACAACTTCAAAAAACGCGCCATGCCTCTTATGAAATACGTCAGACTGTCTACTTTGCAAAAAGGGGTCATTTGGGGGATATCTGTACTGTTCTGATATTCTTGGACCTCAAGAAATTAGATTGGCTGTCAGTACTTCAGGATTGATCAATTTTCAGATCTATACCATAGTTTGTGAACTCTATAACTTTCCTACAAACTAAAAAATACATCCTAATTTGGGTTATTTTCACCAAAGACATGTAGCAGAATACATCTTGGCCTAAATTTATGAAGAACAATTATTTATTTACAAACTTTTATAACAGAAACAAAGAAAAACGTGTTTTGTTTCAAAATGTTCGATCTTTTTTTTGTTAATTTAGCAAAAAATAAAAACCCCAGCGGTGATTAAATACCACCAAAAGAAAGCTCTAGTTGTGTGAAGAAAATGATAAAATTTTAGTTTGGGTACAATGTTGTATGACCGCGCAATTGTCATTCAAAGTGTGAGAGCGCTGAAACGTGAAAAATGGCCTGGGCAGGAAGATGTAAAATTGCCCAGTATTGAAATGGTTAAGTAATACAATTAAATAACTGCAGGGAAAAGCAACAAGGCAACTTAACAGCCAGTGCCAGCTGCATATAATCTCCTTCCATTTGCTCCTCTGTCATTTCGTTCAGCTACCAGGAACAAATAGAGGAATACCTGTGCCTGAGTTTACACAGGACTGAGGACTTTCTCCATGCCCAAACATGACAGGGTTTGTTACCTGAGCAGTCAGTGAAGAAGAACCTATGCTGTCACTTATAAAGGGTCACATGCTCCCCATACAAGGGAATACCAGGTATTTCTCTTTGCTCCTGGTGGATAAATGTAGTGGCAAGAGAGTGAAGGGAAGGTCAATATAGGCAGCAGTTAGTTAAACCTGTTGCTCTGCTCTGCATAAAAATGATAGATTACTATAAAAATATGTGGGAAGCAAACTCTCCCTTTTTCCAAAAAAATCCCATGAGACACTAGTATTCATTTCTACTGTCCCTGCTCCTGGCTCTTTGCTGCACCCCAAAAAATTTGGTGAAACTACCTGGTATCCATTACTTGTAGGCTTCAATCAATGATATGGCCGTCCTTTCCTTAGTTAAAATGGTGTGACCTTAAATGCCTGCAGCGGAAAGAGGATAACATTCTATCCCACTTTTATAAGAAACCATGAATAGGATGTCAGGGTAATAAAGCTGCAAAGAACACATTATCTTCATGCTTCATATCGCAAAGCTCTGGGATACATTACCGTTTAGTTATACATAATTTCTAAAAAAAAAAAAAAAAAAGTTTCA